TGAGAAATTATGTGTCATGGGTGTTACTCCCGCATTTCGCACAGGGCTTAGTTCGCTTCTTCCAATAGATGATATTTCATAAAGACCCGAGTTTTACGGAATTTGCGGATTTACAGAAGAAGAAGTAAGGTCGATTATTACACGTTATCTCGATAATGACAGTACGGAAGCAAATGATGCGATGGATCAAATAAGAGAGCTATATTTGGATATAACTTTGTTGGTGCCGGATCCGTCAAACCAACTCCCTTTGTATATAACAATTACCTTGTTTTTCGCTATTTGAGAGAGAGAAGAGGATACAATCCTGTTCGTAGAACCTCTGGGCCGACAATCGTAAATTCCACGAACATTCTGATACGTATCGCTGAACGGATCTCAATTTCCGCCGATGATCTCTTAAATCTTCTTACACATGATACGGCATCCACCGGGCTTCAAAATAATTTTAGTTATTCCGATTTATTTAGGACCGGAGAACAAGATATGGAATACTGATTTGGTCTATTTTCTATTATTTTGGGATATTGACGCGTGATAATAATGGAATATTAATAATCCCAAATAAAGTGATGAGGACTGAGGTATGAATTTTCACTTTATTCTCTCAATATAAGACAAATATGGAAATTCCAAATGGTATAAATTTTTAATATTAATTAATTCAGGTTATAACCCGAATTGTGAGTTGTTTAAGCTCTGACCAACGCCAGGATCATATTGGACGACGAAATTTGGCATATTTTCAACTCACGCATGGTTCCATAGATCCTTTGATATCACTTTTTAGGAAATTTTTCAAATCCAGACCGATTATTTCATTAAGAACTGAACGAAGCCGTGATACAAGTTACCTTTGAGATTCTTCTTCCCGCAGAACATCGAATTTCCGAGCTTCGTCTAGTGCATGATGGAATGAAAGAGTATACTGAACGTCTTGGTTTTGCAGACCTTTTTGTTGAAAGTGAAGATAGCCCAACGGCATCGAATGTCGTATTGGAACTCAAATACATTACAATTACCGGCCTATTGAGTGGAGCACGGGGATCTTGGATAAATAACCCAGACGCAAAAGTTATGAGTCAGTTGGATAAAGATCTGGAAAAAGAAGACAAAAAAAAATTACTGCAACGTAAATATATGTATTTTTCGAAGGGCAAAGATAAGAAATTTGTGAAAAAGTCGCTCGAAGACATTTTGAATGAAGGATTCAAACAATTAGGCGGATATATCAAGACGATTATGAAAGGGAGAGCAGTAAATTTTGTCGATTCTGGTGTTTCGGATCCGAGAGTCATAGTTGAAGAAGGATCCTCTCGATTACGCGGTTATCTTATTATGTGTCTAGGTTCTGGTCGTGTTATTGTACGTCATATGAGCCGGTAGAAACTGATTTCAGATATATTGTATTGAGTTAAATTCCACTTCTACGAGATTATATTAGTAGTGCAAGTTATGTAATTGTGGTTATTTTTCATACCCTTAACTTTCTATTGGCAAAAGTGATTTGTATGAAGAATATTTAAACGCATGTAACTTTTATTTGTCATTTCAAATTTTCGGTAAAGTTATGGCGTGATAATAAAATACTTATATCTTTTGTTGCGCGATGGAAGAGATCGTTGCATAACCATGGGAATAGGATGGCGGTGGCTATATGCGCGAAATAATATGCTTAAAGAAAACTTTATAAACTGCAATATTAAGAGCAATAATGTATATAGTCGAATTCAAATTTTTCGAATTACCTAAATTGTGAAGCTTGCGAAATAATTCAAACTGCAATATAATCAAAATTTTTTAGGAAAAAAAAAAAAAAATCTTTTTTTCTAGCTAAATCGAATACAATAATTTTTCTAATTATACTGTATACGTATGAAGAAAAAACTTAATTAGGGACAAAATTCTTGCCTCGTTTTCAAGATGATGATTTTTTTTTTTTTTTGTATACACAGCACTCAAACAGATCTGTAAAACGTCCGTCTATTTTATTTTTAGACGAAAAGTTTCCACTCTAAGAGCATCTGTTGCATTATTATTATTTTTTTATTTATTTATTTTATTTTGTTTTATTTTTGTACGTACAGTATCTAGTTGCAGCATGTAGATAAGAATATTAAGCTCTGAACTTAATCCTTTCGCACCCTTTCGCACTCTTGCATCACCTATATAGAATTATATTCGAGTGATATTAATTTTCGATCTATTGTATTTAAAACAATAGGTTAGTTCTATCAATATATCTTAGAAAGTCAAATTTTGTATATATCAAATCAAGGTAAATCCACTTTTTTTTTAAAAAACCTATAATTAGTGAAAAAAATCATATAAAATGATTAAAATGAGCAAGAACATACAAAAAATGGACTAAATATGATTGAACACAGGTTTTATGAATTAATAAATCCACTATAAGTACCAATTAAAATAGAAATATTCAAATCCAATGTCATAAAAATGAACTTTATAATCTAAATTGTGTGCAGACAACCATAAAAAGGGAATTAAAACCAATTATGGGTTTGTAAGTATATAAATAGATAAGAATTATATCATTTGATTTATATTTTACCTTGTAAAAATAAAATAAGTACTGTATGTTAATTTTATTTTAAACACCCATTTATCTAATAACTTTAATCTTTAAAAAAGAAATTTTATAAGAAAATAATATTCTTATTTACAAGCATAACTTGTTAATGAACTTAAGTCTAAACTTAAAATTGTATTTATATAATAACCAATACATTCATCAAATTTCAGTTCAACTAAAAATATTTGAAAGAGATTAAAGACTAGATACTGTATATAAGAACAATAAATCTGACTTGAAAGAAGTTATTACTATGATATAGAAAAATATTATGTCTTATGCCTTTGCAGTATCTTGAAATAGAATCCAT